TAAACATCAATGAAAAACAAGAAGTGGCTTAAAAAAATATATTGACAGAGCAAGTTGTTAAAAACAGCCTTTTGCAGCTGATAAATGTGTCACATTGACATTTCCTTGTTTTCTCAGGAGGCTTCCATGTGAAACTGGACTGAGCGGCCGGCTGCCGACCTTTATGCCGATTCCTGACTTCAGTCCTGATCTAGCAGAAGGGATGTTTAGAAGTATTGGGTGTTTCTTGCTTTTAGGATGGCGCTTCTACTGCTCTTTTAGTAATTATAATCTGGGGAAATAAAGAAGTAAATAATCCTGAAATAAGCTTTCTGTGGTTTGGATTAAATTGGATGTAGATAAGCATGTGGGCTACATTCAAGCAAATTCATTTGTTTTCTTTTAAAGAATAATGTTTATGATCCTTTCTTAGACATTAATGCATTGCAATCCTTATATTTTCACTTCTTAGAAACAAAATGCTAAAATAATACAAATAAAGATTCCATGCAGATTCCATCTCCTGTTTTATTTATTTTTTTTACTTTCAATACTTTGCACAGTAAAGTTGCTCAGGAAGCCTTCCTGCATGAAGTGGTGATGAAACCATTGGTGTTTGGAATAATCTATCTGTTTAATTTATCTGTAGATGGGAAATATACCTCCAGACAAATAAAACTGACTCAGTGACTCTTTGGTAAGGGAATATAAAAACACTCACCAACGTTATCTGTTTAAAGCCTTAGTGGTATTTTTCTCTTTTAGATGTCAGGAGTTCCATTATCTTCCTAAAACGTCCTACATAGCCAAATACTCTTAAGTGGATAAGTAATACACATATAATTCCCTTACATAATTACTATTGGTGAATTCAAAATTAAGTATTAAATGCTTATTTCCACCTCAGTGTTTGCATCCTCCCCTACTGTAAGCCTTTCAGTCAGCAGAGGGCAGTGTTGATTACTGATCGCTAATGGAAAATAATGACTTTATAACACGTACTCGGGAACAACTCTATTGAGATCCAAAAATGCAACAATCCATGGTGATAAATATAAATTTAAATATAAATCCAGGCATTGAATATTTGGACTTTGACTTAAAATGTGGAAATTGTGCATCCTAGACCCTTCCACAGTGTTTTTTAAACATATTGCTGACATAAACAATAATAACTTGAGGAGAACTGTCATAGAGTTTAATTAAGATTCACATTAGATTAATGTTGTTGTTTGCAATATTACCATGGGAATACAAGGAGTATATTAGTAAAAGCCCCCCAAACTACTCACTCTTTTAAATGAGCTAAAAACTCTGATCTGAACCGAAGGTGGTTTTAGAAACAAACACAAAACGAAATGATTCTGAGCTTCATCACATCACTATAAACATCTCTGTTCTGTCAGCTTTGCAGTCAAATAAACATCCCTTTAATTATATAAAAATTGCAACAAATCTCACCAGAATCTGCAAGAGTCTCAGTTTTATTTACAACATGAAAAAAATGTGTCTTTTATTATAATGGTTTTACATATTTCTATTAGCTCACTTCTATGAGGAAGGTTCCTTCTGATACTTGTTGATTTCCTATAGTTGTCTTCTGATTAGCGTGTTAGCATATGAATGAGTGTTTCTGGATGCAAGTCATTGAATGTTATCATGATATAAAGCCCTTTAAGTGTTTGGTATGAATAGAAAAGTTTGATATAAATCATGTTGAACTTTTCATTGCCTTCAGTTTTCTTAATATTGCACCAGCCTGCACTCAGACTAAGGACGACTTAGTAATTAGTAGGGATGTTAAAATGCCATATTCACACCAGCTCTAGTACCTAAAAGAAATATTTATACTGTGTCATGATGCTTTTAAGTGATCTGACCCACATGCAGTAAACCACTCAGAGAACCAGGTTTAACAGGTTTATTGAGGTGAACCACAGGGAGTTGAATCTGGAACTCACAGAGCTGGTGAACCGGAACTAGAAGTGAGAAGGGAAGTTCACAGCGGTTAGTTCAGGGGCCGTAGGAAACCGGATTGAGTTCATGAAAACAGTCAAAACGGGACTCACGTTGGAGAGGGTTTCTTTCTTTTCCTTGAATCCAGAAGGTGTGGGTTTATCTAGAGGAAGGGGAACACGTTGGAGGACGGACAGGTTGGTTTTGGTTGTACCCTGAGGAGCAATTGAGCAGACTGCCACTTGGATTTCTGTGGGAACTTGACGGGTCGTGTGGAGGTTTTTCCCCTGCTCAGTGTGAACAGAAACGCTCCTTCCAGGGGGAGAAGGCCAAACATCCAGTTTGCAGGAAGGCTTCCTG